AAAAAAAAAAAAAAAAAAAATCAAAATAATAATAATAAAATAAAATAGTATCTTAAACTTTTGTTTTAGATACTAAAACATAGTATCTTAAATGCTTAAAATAATATAAATTATCATTTTAAGTTTATAGGTCTTAGAATAGTGAACAGTTTCTTCATACTGCCAGAATTGTACTTCTTCACCTAATGTTGAATGAGTTAGAGAAGATGAGACAGCACCAGCTACTATTCTTTTTGTCACACTTGTATGTTTTTTTAACTTTGCTTTAGATATGAACCAGAATATCACAGCATCTCAATTTCTTCATTTGGATAGTCATATTTATTTGCTACATGCCAACATAATTTGGTGACCTAGCTTTATTTTCCACACATGCTAAACAAATTAGTTTTATGTATGATATTAAAAGGTAGCTGAGGTTCAAAAAAAATTACATGAAATATAATATAAAGACTGATACATACAACCTTAAATCATATTTACATTTGCATCTGTTATATTACAAATGCATAATTTAGATAATTATTTAAAACTCTGCTATAAAATAACACACATACCAAAATTCATAAAGGAGCTAGAGTTATTTGATGGAACAGATTCTGCAGGCTTGCTTGGTGAGGAAGAATTGCAGATAGCTGGAATCAAAAGAAAAAAATTATAAGGGAAAGATTGAAGACAGACTCAGATTACTGTTTATGAGATTGCATGATTGTTGAGATTAAACATTTTCTCTACAGCAATTAATGTTCCCAAATAAAAATATCAGTATTAACAGAATTTTCCACAGTAATTAACATTCCCAAATAAAAATATCAGTATAAAACATTAACAAAATATATGTGCTTACAAATGGGTTTACCCTATAATCTTTTTATCTGTGTGTATGTGTAGGTTTTTTTTTAATTTCTTTTCTTTGCAAACAGATTGTACAGTAAAGCCCAAAACAAAATTACCAAAAAAATAAGAAGCTTTTTTTGGGATTCACATTCTGGCTCTGGGCTTCATCTTACGTTGCTCTCCAATCATTCTTAGAACATTGCATTTGTTCTCCACATTAATTCATCCATGGTAAGTTTGGGATTTTTCTTACACACTTCTCTACTTTTAGAATCTTTCTTCATTCCACTTTGTAGACTACTTTTTTCCCCCACTATAGATGTCTAATTTAGTCCCATAATCTCCCAAAGCATTACTACACTGATTTGTTTTGCTATTTTAGTTACAGATAGCCACCCATGCATATGTATGCATGTATCAGTTTCTGCCCATTTTTGAAAATAATCCAGTGAAATTCCACATTTTGCATATGTATTATGTTGCAGGAAAAAAAAACATAATTTCAAGTTTGTATAAACTTTCTAAACAGCATATAGATGGGGAGAAATTAGTAAATATTCTTTTTTCGTGGCATTTTCAACATTTTCAGAATACAATGTGAGAACTACATATGTTTGCACATACACACCTAATACCAGGGTTCAAAAAATTCCTTTCTCTTCCAGGAGGTAAAGAGGTAGTTGAATATGAATCACTACACTACATAGTAAATTTCGATCAAATCCAATTAAAGTACATATTTATTGAATACCCACTATGTGCCAAGCCTTGAGCTAGACAGTGACGTTAGAGACATGAATTTGAAGTGGGTAAAGGTAAGGAAGTTCAGGAGACGTCAGTAGTCTACTACATTTGAGCTGAGTTGTATACGTGCCTCATGAAGAAAACAATTGTCCAAAGGTAATTTTTTTTTGTAATAAAAGAAGCAAAGATTCTCCACATACATATAAAAGGAGCTGCTATGTTGCATATTGTCTTGTCATAGATATTTTTATGCTGCCTGCCTAGCATTCATTTCCCCTTCTGGCAGTAGAACTTAAATTTTCCTTTGGGAAACCATCCCTCCCTAGTCTTCAGTTCCCATACTTCCAGTGGAGCTGTTTCGACCTTTATTTCAAGGCAATGACCTATAAGGAGAATTGGTTTCTAATTGGTACATTGACATTGCTACACCAGAAGCCTAAGTCAGATCTCATTCCTGATTGGTCAGTGTCTATATGTAACAAGTGTTAAATACACACACACACATATATATATATATATATATATTTGGGGGCTATATGTATGTGTGTGTGTGTGTGTGTGTGTATATTTATGACAAGAGTCTCACTTTGTCCCCTTCGGCAGAGTGCCATGGCATCACAGCTCACAGCAACTTCAAACTCTGGTGCTCAAGTGATTCTCTAGCCTCAGCCCCAGAGGAGCTGGGACTATAGACTCCTGCCACAACACTGGCTATTTTTAGAGATGAGTCCTGCTCTGGCCCAGGCTGGCCTTGAACTCCTGGGCTCAAGCAATCCACCCTCCTTGGCCTCCCAGAGTGCTAGGTGTGAGCCACCATGCCTGGCCCAAGTGTTAAATACTAGATATAGCACTATCTTGCCTAATTTAAATTTGAAATATACTGGCAATAATTGGTTCAAGGATGGGCAAGTGAACCAAGCCAAAATAATCAGATCCATGCACCCAGTCAGACCCAATCAGTATCAGTCACTGGACTATGGTTTGAACAACCAGGAAAGAGCTACTTTTTTCCATCATAAGCCTAAACTCACATGGTAAAAGCTTGCCTCCAAGAGAGCTAACCATGTGAAACAAACCTGAGAGAGATGGAATGAGAGATTAGGTTCTGATTACATCATCAAATCCTTGGTTACAAGCCAATAAATTTCCCTTTCTCTTAAGTCAGCTTAAGCTGAGTTTTCTGTCACTTGCAACTAAAGGATTTCTGAGCAATTATCAAGTTTCCTGAGATGGCATCGGGCATCTTAGTTAACAGCTTCCACTCTTGTCACCCTGTAATTCCTTCTCCATACAGCAGCCAAGATGATCTTTTTTAAAAATTGGAGCATGTAACCTCTCTGCCTAAAACCCTTTAATAGCTTCCCAGAATAAACTCTAACATGACCGATAAGAACCCAACTACTCCTCCCCCATCTTCCCAGCCTCACTTTACTCCTGTCCCCGCTTCACTTAACTGCCCTGCAGCTCTGATGGCTTCCTTTTCCATTCTTACCACACACCAAATTCTGACCCTTCATGTTTTTTCCTCACTATCTGGAGTGCTCTTCTCCCCACAGTTTGCCTGTGTGGCGGCTCCTGCGAATTTCCCATTCAGTTATCGCTTCCTTAGAAAGGGCTTCCTGGACCACTCATTCTAAAGTGATCCCCTTTGTTGCTGTTCTCATTAATTAGCCTTTTGTTTTCCTTCATAGCATTTATCACAATGTGTTACTTCATGGTATTTGTGAATTTACTTGTGTAATATCTGAATCCCTCACTAGACTTAAGTTCCTCAAAGGCGGAGGCCATATCTATCATATACCAAGTGCCATGCAAAATGTCTGGCCCTCAGGAGGCACTAACCAAATATCGATCAACTGAATGAATGAAAGATACTAGGCTTAGATGCTAACTTAAAATAACAGATGAAGGATCCTAATTTCATTAAAAGTAAGACCAGCTTTAACTACGTACCAGTAAGAGATCCAGGCTACAGGGAGAAAAAAAAGGAATTCTGGAGTTCTGAACCATCTCTAAGAAGCACAGAACACAGGTAAATAAATTCTAAAGCTTCAGGCCCAATTTTAGGGGTTATTTAAGGGGAAAAGACCAGAAGATCAAGGTAACTGAAAAACAGAAACACAGCACAGCCTAGAATAGCCTGGAAGCGCTGAGAGTGAGGCTATCTCTGAGAGCCCCACTGCACCTCAAGGCCATGCCAGTCTAAGTCTACCTGAAGTAGAAATCTCTGTTTCTTTGTTTGATCTTCTCAAATAGGGTTGTTTCATAAACTAAGATGATCAAACCAATCTTTGGCTGACTATTCAAGTCACATAGTTCTTTGCTTTTGACTATTTCCATTTACTACCATAATTTCCTTCTGAAATGTTTAAATTCTCTTGTGAATGAATTTAGGAGAAAGGGCATGTTTTCCAATCATAGTTTAGCCATGATAAGTAAGAAATCAGATCATTTCAGATATTAGGTAAGATGGCAATGATAGAAAATTGCTCAAAACTCTGGAGTTTATGCCTAGCAAGAAAGAGTAAAAACCCAAAAGAAAAAAATAAGATTCTATTATAAACCTTCCTACTTAAACTATACCTTAAATTAGATGTTTCTGGGGGATGGAGGGGGATTCGAGGGTTAACTTCTGTGGTTCATCTTACAAGGGTACAAGTAAATCTTTCTATCAGCAGAATATGAATGTTTTAACACATTAACTAAGAAAATTACATGAAGGCTATGTTAACTAGTTTGATGGAAGTGTTTCGGATTGTTTGTGAAAACGCCACACTGTACCCCAGAAGTGCATTAATGTACACAGTTACTATTCAATAAAAAAAAAAAAAATTAGATGTTCCCAGTGCTCTTTGTCCCTCCCTATAGAACCAAGATAACTTCAAGTAACTGTTCGGTCCTTCCTGATTGACCAAATGAATCAAAATTTTAAAAAGTGTATCACCATGTTTTATGTATTTTGTGTTTGTGAGTAAAGATTTCTAAGATAATGTCTCACAGTTTCAGGAGTCTATGGGCTTTATTTTCATTACAATATAGCAAAAATAGTAAGCAACAGACTTTTGTTGCTAATAATACTTGGTAAAAATGGAAATGTGTCAGTGCTTTGCTTATTTCATGAAGTCAACACATTTGTTTCACAATATGCTTTGCTCTATTTTCAAAGAAAAACACATCAGAGGTTAGATTACTGGGAATTTTAAACAGCACACATGTACGGCAACATCCTAGGGTGGGAAGGAAGTGCCAAACACTGTACTGATTGTTATTTCTGTCTATGAAACAGAGACGTTTCCATTTCCTAATCCCTGCCCAATATTAGCATTGTGGAGCCTACTACGCTGTGCACAAGGATCAGGGTTGATTGTTCTGACCCAGAAAACCCTAGAGAGGCTCTGTTTAGGAAAAATTTTGTTAGTTCGTTCACAGAGAGGTTATATAAAGAAAAATCACATAATTGTGAAAGTGACATATTCTACAACATAAATACAAAGAAACTTACTCTTCTTCATGTTTCGCAAAATTTTCAAACTCTACAAAAGTGAAGAAAGAGAAAATGTTAGTTTTTTTCCTGTGAAATCCAAAATACTTTAAATCAAGTAGAAGCATAGACTTAAGTCAAAAGGATTAACTTTAAAAATAGCCATGAATATGCACAAAGTTATTTTTCCATCTTGTCATTTTTTTGAGATGGAGTTTCACTATGTTGCCCTCGGTAGAGTGCCATTGTGTGACAGCTCCCAGCAACCTCCACCTCTTGGGCTTAAGCGAATCTCTTGTCTCAGCCTCCCAGGTAGCTGGGACTATAGGTGCCTGCCACGACGCCCAACAATTGTTTTGTTGTTGTTGTAGTTGTCGTTGTTCAGCTGGCCGGAGCCAGGGTCAAACCTGCCAACCTCAGTGTATGTGGCTGGCACCATAACCACTGTGCTACAGGTGCTGAGCCCATCTTGCCATTTTTAATGTCGTACAAAATCTCCACTTGATTCTCTTTTGCTATTTGTACTACATATTTAGAAATAACACTATCAGAATATCAAGGAGGAAAAATGAAGTTCCTACTTCTCTCCCGTGTTAGGACCATTTCAGAACCACGATGGCTTCAGAATGTAGCTGTGATACATATCGTCCCTGTGCTTGCTAATGGTATTCTGCCTTCCGTTTGCTAAGGCCCACTTCCATACCATTAGTTCTCCCTTCTCCCTTCTCTCAGCAAACTCATGTCCTCTATCTTCTCTATGGGGGCATCTCTAACTTATTTCTTCAAGGAACCTACCTAAATTTCTTCTTTATTCCATACTTGCTTGGCATATTACTTTTTAATCTGCTTAATAATATTTTATTCTTCTTGAAAATTTTCATGTTATTTCTCATATAGGTGTCCTGTTCCAAAAGATTAACTATACTCTTTTCACCTTGGCGCCTGTAGCTCAAGCGGCTAGGGCGCCAGCCACAGACACCAGAACTGGTGGGTTCGAACCCAGCCTGGGCCTGCCAAACAACAATTGACAACTACAACCAAAAAATAGCTGGGCGTTGTGGCAGGTGCCTGTAGTTCCAGCTACTTGGGAGGCTGAAGCAAGAGAATTGCTTAAGCCCAAGAGGTGGAGGTTGCTGTGAGCTGTGACACCATAGCACTCTACCCAGGGTGACAGCTTGAGACAAAAAAACTAAAAAAAAAACCAAAAAAACTATACTCTTTTCAAGGGCAGATAGATGTCTTTTATGACATTTCTCTTTTCCTAACACCTAACAGAAATCTACTCTTACATAAATAGATATTTAATACATTTTTAGGTTTTTAAAAGAATAGATAATTTATTTACAATTTTTTAAATCCTAGCAAAATGTTCATATCCACTTCTACCCAGTGTATAACCTTCCTCTTGTAGTAAACCACTATCAGTTTCTTATGTATCCTTCCTGAGTTACTTACGAATATGTAAGTAAATATGCACGTTGATCATATTTTCCTTTTTAAACAAGAGTTAATGAATTATATGTGAATATATTGAGAGAGTCTTCATTCTTTTTTAAGCTGCATAGTATTCTATTGTATGGCTATACCACAATTTATGACTTATTAATCAGTTTCCCTAGTGATAAACATTTGTATTGTTTCTAGTCATCTGCTTCTATAAACAACATTGCAATGAATACCTAGTATACACGGCATTTCATGTGCGTGCAAGCATATGTGTAGGATGAATTTCACTTCTAGTGAAACTGTTGAGTCAAAGGCTATATACATTTGTAATTTTGATGTTACTAAATTGCCCTCATTCCTTGACATTCCCACCAACAATATAGGAATGTGTTTATTTCCCCCATAGCTCCCTAGCAGCCAATGTGCTCAAACTTTTGTAATTTGCCATTCTGATAGATGAAAAACAATATGTCCTTGTGTTCTTAATTTGTATTTCTCTTACTATGAATGAGGTTGAACATATCAAATGTCTAAATGGCAGACCACACACATTTATTTTCTCTGCACTATCTGATCATGTATCTTTGCTCATTTTTATTTCAAGGCTATTATTTTCTATGAACTTCTAAGATCTCTTTGCGTAGTAAAGAAATAACCTCTTTGCTATGATGCTTGTTGCAGACTTTTTTTCCTATTTTGTTCTATGTCATTTTATTTATTTATTTATTTATTGAGATAGGATCTTTCTCTGTCACCCGCACTAAAGTGCATTGACATGATCATAACTCACTGCAGCTCCAAGTCCGGGGCTCAAGTAATCTTCCTGCCTCAGACCAGAAGTAGCTAGGATTACATGCACATACCACAACACCCACCTAATTTTTCTATTTTTTGTAGAGAAGCGGGGATCTCAACTTTTGCTCAGGATAGTCTCAAACTCCTAATGTCAAGTGAGCCTCCCACCTCAGCCTCCCAAAGGGCTGGAATTACAGGAGTGAGCCACTACACCTGGCCTGTCTTTTGATTTTTAAGGTGATTTTTCTTTTTTTGCTGTGGAGAAATTTTCTATTTTACTTAGTTGAATTTATATGTTACTTTTCTTACAGCTTCTGGTTTTAAGTCATTATTAAAAAGATCTTTCATACTTCAAGGTTATAAAGGAATCTTTCCAAGTTTTTTAGTACTTCTCTGAGTTAGAGCTTTTGTTTATTAATTTGTTAACATTTAAATATTTTAGCCGTTATAGAATTTATCCTGGTATAGATGTGAAGTACAGATCCTATTTTTTTCCCAGGTGGTTATCTATTTGATCCAATGACAATTATTAAACCATCTATTCTTTTCCCCTGATTTGAGACACTGCCTTCATCGTATACTAAACCCCTTCACATATTTGGAATTATTTCTAGACTTTCCAATTTACTCCATTGATAATGTGTTTCTTTTCATACACCACTATCATACTACTTTAATTATTGAGGGTTTACAATATTTTAATACCTGGTAAGACTAACCTCCTTTCATTGCTTTTATTTTTATTTATTTATTCATTTATTTATTTGCAGTTTTCTGGCTATTCTTTCTCCTTCCCTTCCCCATATGAACTTTGAAGTCAGATTGTCTTGTTCCAGGAATAACGAAACTGATAGATTTGGGAGGCATCTTTTAAATTTGCGTATCAAATTTAATTAGGGAGAAATAAATTCTCAACTAAGTTGTAGTTTTCCTTCTTTTTGGTTTCTTTTTGTTTGTTTTTTGGTTTTTGGTTTTTTTAATTTATTTTTTTACATATACATGTGTATATTAGGTTTCCACTTTTGCCTTCACAGAATTAAAAGGCTAAATTTAATGACAATAATAATATTTAACATAAGGACTGAGAACAAAAACCTCATAAAAAATGAAAGAAGATAAATACATTCAGAAAAGAAATCAGATGATTGCTGCAATGAATTCTTAAGCAATAATAATAGTAATAATGCAAAGAAAGTAACATTCACATTGTCAGATAGAAGTATGTCTATTATAGAATACTTTGATCAGTTAACTTCTTCTTATTTTGTTTTTTCCAAAGTCTCAAAAAAATAGACAACTAAATTAAAAAAAAGAAATTATTTATAATTTCTATAATTCCAAATATAATTTAGAAATTATTTTTTACTTTTATTTATATATATTAGTTGTCTTTTTTTCGACTTTGGTAAAAACATAACAAGGAAAAAATTATTTGCTATTTGTATTTTGTCTTATATATTCTGTAACAAACAAGTAGTAAATGATTATGTATTTAAAAAAAAGAAAATAGTGACTAATTTTCATATGAATTATATTTAAATTTACCAAAGTACATTACTTAAACATTAATTTTTAATTCAACATGTTAGTATGTTGTTTATCACATTGCATCCTCATTTATAAGTGAAATATGTTTGTAATTTCCCTTTTACAATAATATATTTTCTCCAATTTTAATATCAGGTCTATCCAGATTAAGTAGAATGATTTTGAAGTATTTCTTTTTCTATTGTCTATAAGATTTGGTATGATCTGTTTTTTTTAAATTATCTTTTTGGTTTCTTTCCATTAATTTTGATTGTTGTAAGATTAACAGTTTTAGTAAATACATTTAATCTAATTTTTCTTCTTAATGCTGAGGCAAGGGAACCTTCAATAGCAGAGAGTCTCTGGCGTGTTTTCTAAAACTCCATTTTCTTTTTTTGTTTTGTCTTGTTTGTGTCACCATGTGAGTGAACCCAACTATTTTCTTTACCTTACTCCTTGTGAAACTTTTCCCAGGAGTCTTCAATGTCTGTTTTGAAGCTGTGGAATTTTCCATGGTGTTTGAACAACTGGTAGAATAAGTTTCTATAGATTTGGCCTGCATACCTTAAAAAGAGAGGGAGGGAAAAAAAGTCACGGCACAGCTCTTTAAGCCTTCAGGTATACATAGGTATATATTCAGTAATGTTTGGCTTTCTTTTTTCTTTTCTTTGAAGACAGGTCTCACTTTGTCACCCAGGCTGGAGTGCAGTGGTACAATCATAGCTCACTATAACCTCAAACTCCTGGGCTCAAGCTAATTTTTTTTAATTCTTTGTACAGATGAGGTTTCACTATGTTGCTAAGGTTGGTCATGAACTCCTGGCCTCAAGTGATCCTCCCTACTCAGCCTCCCAAAGTGTTGTGATTACAGGTGTGAGCTGCCATGTCTAGCCTTAGCTTGACTTTTTTAGGCATTATTTTATTACATATTATGGGTATTTATTTATTTACTTATTTATTTATTCATTTATATATTTTAGGAGACAGAGTCCTACTCTGTTGCCCTGAGTAGAGTACCATGGCATCGTCATAGTTCACAGCAACCTCAAACTCTTGGGCTGAAGTGATCCCCTTTCTTACAGGCATGCAGCACAATACCCAGCTAGTTTTTTTCTCTTTTTAGTAGAGATGGGGGTCTCACTCTTGCTCAGGCTGGTCTCAAACTCCTAGGGCTTTTAATTTTTTTAATTGCCTAATATTTCTGGGGGATATTATGGGCATGTAAAATGTATTCTTTTATTTGATCATTCTTCTTCCATTTAGGTCCTACTTTACTGTTAATCTTTTTACCTCGTCATTTTTATAACTTTTGTGAAGAGAAAATACTGCTACTTACAATCTTCATCAGCAAGAAAGAAAGACTCTGGAGTTCTTTCTGGAAGTGGAGGTGGAGGAGAAGAAGAACGATCTTCATGTAGATCTGTGACTTTAAAGAAGTATACAACAAAGCAAAGACATCCATTAATTAAAAGTCATAAATCGTGACCCTTTTTGGAGTTCTATAATTTTTTCCATTCATCAATCTTAACCTACAATCACCAAATAAAAATTTATCTGAACAATGACTGGAGTCTCTAGAATTTTGTTCTTTTATCTCATTAGCAAATGAGCCTATGATTCACTCAAAACTACAACTTACTTCAGAATTAGTCTTCCAAAGATGTTGAAACTGAATTTTATTTTATTTATTTATTTATTTTTTTTTTTTG